ATACCATTTTGAGAGCCAAAAGTTTATTCAACTATTGTCACCCATTCCAGGAAGGCAATAAAAAGTTCTACTGGATTCACAAAGGTAGGCAGCAGCTTGAGAAAGCCATGATGGCAATTATTTTACATCCAAGTAGGATGCAGTCCTTCATATATACACACATCAATTTCAAACGGATGGTATCAGTATCGGCCAATACTGCACAGCCGATATCAGGTATCGCTGTCGGGGCCAAAAAATGGCGTCGACGCAGCACTAATTTTCACCTCCCAGTTTCCAGGATAACCAGAAATTTTACTCGAATTTGAGCAACAATACGTCACAAGAATATCACTCAAGTTAAAGGTATGGTACAATAAATCTGCTCCTACAAACGTCTTTTCGTCTCGTCCCACCTACCTGTTTAGATCAGAGATATCCGGAATGTAACGTCTCCGTATGCTTTGGAGGACAGATTATATCTGCCAGGTTTACCTGTCCTAGTTTCAACTTTGACTCTGCTGGGCAACCAGAGAGGACGCCGCATTCTTTTCAGAGAGGAATGCAGGGAGGTATTTTCCCTTCGCTGCCAAACTCCCACTTAAAGAGCAACATCTATACTGGCCGTCTCCCAGTCAACAGAGCTTTCCACTGGCTGCAGGGCACTAAAGACCAGGAGACGCCCTCTGTCCAACTTTCTAACAATATTCCAGGCAGCTCTGATTTCTTTGTGGAATAAAACACCTGTGTGCGTTTCAGTGGCTGCACTGGCACGGAAATCTGTTGAGTTCATACTTTAACATAATATACATGAAAACATATAAAAATCTGCATGATGCATCCTTCATTAGGTTCATATGAGCTTTTACTGTTGCTTAAATCCCCCCTCTCCCTCTCAGCTCAATGCTGCGCTGCCTCCAAACAAGCTCCCCAACAATGAAAATGCAAATGTGTCTTTTATGTGAAGCGCAGCTACTGTCCAGGGAAGCAGCTGCTCGGTTACACATTTCCTACAAGAGGAGGAGAAGCTGCCGTTTGCTCCCAGGAAATCCGAGCCGGATCGGGTTCATCAGAGAAAGGATCTGAGCAGCAGTGAAACACAGACGCCCCACTTTACAGCTCTACAGCAGCCTGAGAAGTTAGACGCCTTAAAAACCGTTAAAAGAGGAAACGAAACAAAGGGAAACTATTGTTTACATTTCGAAAATCATCACCTGGACTCATCACAGGGCAGGAAAAGGGGAGAAGCTGCTGTTGCTGCTTCGCCATCAACCTAAACACCACCTACGACCATCGTTTTGGTTCCATCTGTTTGTCTGCTTCTACTAAATCTGTAATATCTCAGCTATATTCAACAGCACAGCAAATAAACACAGAAAGACCAAAATGCAAAATAACTACAAAAACCTACATTTTAACATTTTTTTTTTATAAAACTTTGATGCAATTCAATTTCTTAGTCTTTTTAAGTAAGGGAGAAAAGATAACAGAAGCCATCTTTCTGCCATTTCACGATGCAGCAACAGGTGGGGAAGGGGCTGTGCTGCAATGTTCTATGCTCTATACAGCTAGAAAGGAACTCAGATACCAAAGTCACTTTCTAATCTTACAAAAATGACTTTGATAAGGAATAGTTCTTAAAAAAAAAAAGATCAGTTTGAAGCATCCCTTTAGATCACTTCTAAAATTAATCTTGAATTATGTCAGGGTCCGGCCCTCTGTTTAATTTTATTTTTAGTTTCTTTGTATCTGTAGCTTTTTTCTAGCAGTGTTTTGTTCTTGAGTTACTCTCTGTTGCCCCCTTGTGTTTGTTTCCTTTTCTCTTGGCTTCCTTCTAGATGCTTCCATCCACGCCTGCTTCCCAATCAGCTCATCAGTCCAGTCTTTGTTCTGTCTCCTATATATACTCTGCCTGTGAAGTTCCTCAGGGCTGGTTCCTCGTCTTCCTCTGTATTTGTTATTTTCAACCCAACCCTGACAAATGAATCAAATTAAATCATTCTGTTCAGAAAAACTTTTTGTTATATTGGGTAAAATGGTTCTTCCAACCTTATGTAGTCAGAAAAAGGAACAGAAAAAATAAATAAAAATCAGACATTTTTGACTGCTGCAAACTTGCTAGATCTGCAACATTACCAACTATAGTTTTAAGCAATAGTTGCTTATTAATCTAACAAATGTGGGCTTGTCCTTTAATAAGCAAAGTCGCTAAGTTTGCTCAGATTTGGCGGTTTAGATTTCCACGGTTGACGCAAGAGAATTGTGTGGAATGCAGCTGATTAAACTTTATGGTGTTACAAAAAAACGCAAACTGTATCAGAGATGTTCAGAGGAGAATTATCAATAGAATACCCAAAACAGAGAGCAAACATGCTGATTCTAGCCTGGAACCTGTTTCTCTGCAGGTTAAATGACGCTGCATTACTGAGAGCAAACATGCTAATGCTAACCTAGCACTTACATGCATTTCTCCACACATGTTTGAGTAAACCTTCTATAATGATGCTAAAAGCCTAGCTATCAACAAGTGACATCAAAACCAAGAGCAGACATGCTAATGCCAACCTAGCACTTACCTGTGTCACCACATGATTGAGTAAACCTTATATAATGAAAAACTGGCAGCAAAGATGCTAATGCTAACCTAGCACATGCGTTTCTCCACACGATTGAGTAAACCTTCTTTATAGATGCTAAAAGGCTAGTTATTAACAAGTGACATCAAAACTGGGAGCAAACATGCTAATACTAACCCAGTACTTATTAACATTTATCTACACATACTTTTATCAATCTTCAACACCAACGCTAAAAGCCTGTTATTAACAAGTGACATCAAAACCAAGAACAAACATGCTAATGCTAACCTAGCACTTACATGCGTTTCTCCACACATGATTGAGTAAACCTTCTATAATGATGCTAAAAGCCTAATTATCAACAAGACATCAAAACTGGGAGAAAAGATGCTAATGCTAAATAGAACTTATACGCATTTTACGACACATGATTGAATAAACCTTCTATAATGATGCTAAAAGCCTAATTATCAACAAGCCACATCAAAACTAGGAGAAAAGATGCTAATGCTAAATAGAACTTATACGCATTTTACGACACATGATTGAGTAAACCTTCTATAATGATGCTAAAAGCCTAATTATCAACAAGACGCATCAAAACTGGGAGAAAAGATGCTAATGCTAAATAGGACTTATACGCATTTTACGACACATGATTGAGTAAACCTTCTATAATGACGCTAAAAGCCTAATTATTAACAAGACGCATCAAAACTGGGAGAAAAGATGCTAATGCTAAATAGGACTTATACGCATTTTACGACACGATTGAGTAAACCTTCTATAATGACGCTAAAAGCCTAATTATTAACAAGACACATCAAAGCTGGGAGCAAACATGCTAATGCTAACCTAGCACTTACATGCGTTTCTCCACACATGATTGACTAAACCTTCTATAATGATGCTAAAAGCCTAATTATCAACAAGACACATCAAAACTGGGAGAAAAGATGCTAATGCTAAATAGCACTTATACGCATTTTTTCGACACATGATTGAGTAAACCTTCTATCGGTCTCCGTCAGTCACGTGACATTTGTTGCTAAGACGCCATTTTTGGCGTAAAGGCGTAGTGTAAACAACCGCAGTATAGCTAAACGAAGAACTAAAGGATTGAGTTTGTCTCTCTGACGATATGGAAAAAAGTAAGCAGAATGTGAAATTACCGTAGGCTACGGTGTCTTGCCAAGGTAGTTATCCCTGCGAAAATTTGTATCCCCTCGTCGGGCGCGCGCACGGAGTAGGAAGAACAACCCGAGTTAACTCCGCTTCGATTCCAACGTGCAGAACTTGAAATTTGAAAGGTTTTACGTACATGAAAGTTGAGCTTTACTGTTTTATTCTTTACTTCACATGTTATTTGAGCTTTACTGTTTTATTCTTTACTTCACATGTTATAGCAGAA